TTCTGATCGTTCTAGTCCACTTTGTTATAGTCTCATTGGCCCTCACTGTTTTATTTTGATGTATTTTCCCATTCAATGGCATAAAGCTTAGGTGATTCTCAATAATCATGTGTTTTTATTTACTCATATATACCTTTGTATCATGAAAATATTTCACATCTGTGTACTTTATATTTCCAATCACACAATATATTATCTTGAACGTTAAAAATGCTTTCTACTTTTTATTATTTCCTCAAACTATAACCCCTCACTTCTACCAAAATACCTGAAACTTGCTATACACATTACAGAAGGACTAAAGTAATCACCTTTCTTATATTGTTATAACACACACAAGGTAACAACTGGCATCTGAAGTAACAAAAAGGTAAAAACAAAACAAAACAAAACAAAAACCCTCAAGTGCAACACTAATGTATGTTATATACACAAAGATATGTGCAAATTGCAAACTAGTCTAAATTCTCAGAATAAAATTTAAAAATATGAGTTTAAGTATCAAAAATCACATGATACTATGGTAGAAAAACCCTTACCCTAAACAGTAAGTTATTAAAGAACCTTTTTTTCCCTGGTTTTAAACACTGTTTAAATGTTCTACTGGAACCCAGAGAAAAGTAAAGCATCTCTTGCGTGGCTTTTACAAGATTAGTGCTAAACCTAATTTTACACAAAAAGATCTCTTCCTCAAAAGTTTGGTATGCAATGTGTAGAAATTTACACATTAAATGTATGTGTGTGCACTTCAATGGATATATCTAAGCTTGTTTTAGATGCATTGTGAGAGCTCATTATTTATAGGCATCCCAGAGATAATCTTTTTTAAAGCAATCCTTTGGAATAAGTGATTTATATGTTTTATGAATCCAAATTTTCATACACTAGATTTTCTTAAAGAAAATTACACCAAAAAAGAAAAAAAATCATTATTTACTCTTATAAATTATGATCAAGACAGCTTAGCCCTTTTCCTTAATCCCCAAGCTTTAAAAAAATAGTTCCATTCCTAAACCAAGATTTTTCTTCATGTAAACCTATGTCCTTGCAATGCCTACAGTTTTCAGTAACCTATACTTGGGAATTTTTAGTTAGGAAGATACCAGGACAATAAATGACTGTTTTATATCTTTAGCTTCATTTTAGCCTTCCTATATTCATACCCTAGAGGTTCCAGATTCTTATCCACAAAGTGATTATGGTTTAGGACTGAATCAGATTTGTAACAAATGTCCACTGGGATTCCTCTCCCTATCATCGACGGGTAGAGCCGATATATGTCTTCTAGCTCATCGAATCCGTTCACCTTACCTCAGGGACTTCCCACAATGCTACGTGGTTAGAAGCCTTCTTTCACAAATGACGAAAATGAATGAAAAATGATTTCAGAATAGAAAAATGGAAACCCAAGTCATTATATAGTGTCTAAAGGCTACCCTGCCTCTCCCACCATACTGCCCAAGCAAGCATTCTAACATATGTACAATAAGGGATATTCTTCTTTAAGGTTTTGAGTTTCATTTTCTCTAATTTTATCTGATTGCTGACATGCATCATTTATATTAACACTTCCATATATCCAGCCACACAATACAATAAAACTTCTAACAGCGATCTAGTTTGGAAACCATTATGATTTGTTTTAAATTTCCCAGAAAAATATAAGGCACAAAGTTAATAAAAGGAAATTTCTAGTAAGTATGGTTTTTTATAAATATTACCACATCAAAATGAAACTAACAGCAGTCATGCAATCATGCATAAGTAAAATACAGGCTCTTACTGTTTTTCTTAAAAGCTAATTTAGCATGTCACTCTCTCCTTTTTTGCTATTGTCTTAAAATGTATTTCCCCTCAAAAAATAAAAATAAAAAGTGCTTCCAAAGAGAGAGAAGAAAAAATTACAAACTACAGTATTTTTTATGCTACAAGCTATACAAAAATCTGTCACCATCTATGTTACAATTCTAGTCATCAATAAGGTACTTTTTTTCAATGCACCACTCAAAAATCAATTATATCAACTCTTTTGTATAGAGAAGCAGCACACCTTTCAGGCAACTAGTATTAATGAGTAGACATGACTATAGAATCTCCATCTGTTTCTCTGACAAAGCTGTGGCTACTCTAGTCTCTCATTGAAATTCCATTAATCTGGTGTACCAAGGTCCAATGCGAAAATCAAAACTCCATCTAACCCTTTATCAGCTCACAATAACCTACAAGTGAACTCTGCCTGTTAGCATGCAGCAAGTTATGATTTTGCTATCAATCAGGCAGTTGGCCAATAAAAAAAAAAAAAAAAGGCAGGCTGGAAACAGTGTGTCTGGCAGGGTTTGAAGACTTTGTTTTTGTTTTCTGTTTTCATCCCCTTTCAATTTCTATAGGGTGTCTGGACCTTGTGGGATTATGCATTAGTCTCCTTGGCTGTGATTTAATTGCTACCAGCAATCAAGTCGAAGCATCACTGAAGTGTGCTTGAATTTCATTAGAAGATATAACTTATGCTACTTTCCTACAGTACCTAATAAACCATAAAGAAACCAAAACACATATGGCTTGAGGGAATAACTGGAAAATTAGGTAGCCATTTGGGAACTGAGTGAACTTTTGAACCAGAGGAACAGAGAAAAAGAAATATTAAAGGAAAAAACAGACTTAGAATGCACACAAAGATGTGCAGGTTTGACCTTTTCAGTACCTTGAAAATTACATTAGCATTATGAAAAATACATACCATGTTTAGAGTTTATAATCCATCAAGGTTCAGATACTTTGTTAGTGCCTACCATAAGGTAAAAGTCAAAAGGACAAAACAACAATCTGATTTGACAAAAGGCCTTTTGGTGACCTGTGCTAATTTAGTTATACTTATTGTTAAATGCATTATCCTTTTATAATTAATATATCATTAGACTGAGGTCCCATAATGAAGGAAAATTTATTCAGCAAGGGAAAGAGAACACATACCAAATCTATGTTGAAGGGAGAGAGACTGATATGACTAGATGACTTTCAGAGTTTCAGAAATTAAAAATCCAAGTGGTAGTGTTAAAATTAATTTATAATATTCTTAGAAGAAAATGTAAAACTATCATATATGGTATTTCTTATATACCGAAAATGAGTAATACTAAAAGTTAAATTTTCAATCTGCTTAAGAATTGCTTACACCAACACTAATGAAAATGCACCTATATTTAACAAAAAACTTAATGCTATACATAAATGTTTTTAAATAATATTCAAATACTGATAATGTAATCTTTTAACAATAAATCTTTTTCATGCTATTAATGTATTTCCTATATATTTGGTTATGAAAACAAACATGATAAATTATTTACTCATAATAAAGAAAATATGATAATTATGTAAATGTATTATAATTTAATAACAATTCACTTTTTCTAACAAAACACTAGCTCTCATAGATACTTAATTGTTGGATTTCTTAGGTTACAATTTTTAGAAGAATGTACATATTGCTCCCTTGTAATTCAAATTATTTATGCTATCTTTTTAAAACTCTGAGCATATACACTCTATGAACATTTTGTGTGTGTGCATGTATATTCTCCTGAGTATAAATATTCTGTCTGTGTATATGTATACCCACATACTCATTTCTATCTACCAACACTTAACAGAGAAGCAAAACAAATCATTGTAATGTGTCTGAAAAACAGCTCAACTCAAACAATAATTCACTGTTTTGCCTGAAAGTATTATTTATCAATTATAGAACATTTTCTAGTAGAAATGCTTTTGAAGACCAGATTAGGAAGGGTAATGCTCTGTTTCAGATAAGAAGTGTAACTGAAGAGAAATGTGCATCTTTTTAAAAAATAGGGAATATAAGAAAAAGAAATCTCTTCCTTTAAAAATAGAAATTAAATGTTTACCAAAATGTAAAATTCAACATAAAATGGATATGATTATTATTGCTACACATTGTACAAAGTTCTGAATATAAAAAAAAAGATTGTGTTGTTCTGAATCAGTGGTTAGAATGTTTATCACTTATGCATGTACTTGACTTATCCCTGTTCTGCAATAGACATAATTTTATACCTCATAAAAGCAATTTATGTTTCCAAAGGGAATAATCTGGATAACATAAAATGTGGAGTGCTCTGTTGCAGGAAGCATATTTTCATTCAGCAATTGTATTTAGAGATGGAACTGCACAGTTTGATCATCATACAGTGGCAGAAGGCATTATTCATTTCTGTGTCTCCATGAAACTTTGAGTGCCACGAATTAATATGCATGGCTAATTTATCGATACACATTCTTAATTTATAACTATCTCTCACCCTTATAAGGTCTCTAGAATGCAGATGCACTCAACTGGCTATAACAGAGAAAGCACACGCTACACTAAAAGCAAGTTTCATAACTTCGGCGAGTTTTTAAAAATTACGAAGAGATAAACAATCAACTTTATTACCCATTCAATTAATACAAAACATTATAACACTACTGTATAATGTGGGGTATCTTTAGGTGACAATGAGGAAAATGAGAATGTGTATTAAAGAAGCATTTGATGAAAACCTGTCTTAATGTGAGAAGGCAATGTAAGAATAATTAATTTAATACTTTATGAACTCATTTTATATGAAGTTTTAAAAAAAGAGATCAAAAATCTTTTTCATTATTTATAAAATAAATAATACAAGAAGCCATTCAGCAGCACAACAAAATTAAGCAAGAATCTGATAATATTAAATTAACCAACAAACTAATAATATTCATACAATGATGTAAACACTCTCTTAAAAATTCTAGTCAAGAAATTTCCTAGGAAAAGAAGGAACTACATACTTAAGAAAACCACTAGAGAGAGCTCTTCTGTTCCTTAAAATGTTCTGGTAAAGGTAAGTTAACTGAAGCCTCCGCATTTACAGCTTTCCAACAAGACCACCACCTCTACACACTGCATTGTCTTGTGTTGGGATATCTGGAGGTATATTTGATGGCAAAATATCACATACCTTCAGAGTGGGCTTCGTCATCTTTATCATATCTTTCTGAAGCCAATGACACAGTATCTGGAGGCCCAGCAAAAGGGTCATCATATTCTTCCCCATCTTCTGCATCATCTATAGAAGAATCACAGAAAAGCCTTTTATAGATTAGCCATCTTAAAAAAAATGTTACTTTGTCAAGAGAGGTAAATTTTACTATTAAACCTAGTCACTGTCATGGAAAAACAGAGTAAAAACAGGTCCTATTTTAACGTATATCTACTGTAACTTAAATAAAGTAAGAGTTTCTGGAAGTCAGTGGACAACTGCTTATTTCTGATACAAAAGGATACAAGTTCCAAAATTATGATGGTCTCTACAAAGATGAATACAAAGAAAGTAGAAGCAAGGTAAAGCAGAGTGTGTATCCAAAACAAACAAAAAAAGAAACAGAACCAAAATAATGATAACAAATAAGACACAAAAAACTGGAAAGCACAACAGAGAAAATAATTCAAGTTAATTCCATTTACCTACTCAATTATTTGAAAAATTATGATGAGAAATTGATAATTCAAAGCCATATGCACATTTTATGTTTTCATGAAGAATCACAGGGTTACATTAGAGTAGATTAAAAATACTCAGTTGCATTTTCAAGAGCAGGAATCCTTTATGGGAAAAATTACTTTAAAACTCATATAACCCTGTTAAGTTCAAAGTGATTTACAACTTGACACCTTCAATATTCATTCAGTAATATGTTACCATTTTTTTTTTTAATCTTCTAGCCAGTTTTTACATGATTTCCAAATCCTAGGTTGGTTGGTTGGTTCGTTTGAAGTCATTTAATCTCCACAATAAAATCTTGTGGTTTGGGTTTTTTCCACATACCCATTTAGAATAATTTAAAAGAAAAAAAAGAGTGAATCAGATATTTGCTAGCTTGGGTACATATAAGTACTCATTTTTCAACCATATTCAACCACATCCAAAGAAAATTCAGTAAAATTCAAAAAACTATATGCTTTATACTGTATCAATTATCTGTTAATTCAAGAGAAAACCAGCTACCTCAGGGATTACCCAAAAAGCACAATGAAAACCTCCATGGGAATCCTAAAGAACCTACAGTATTACTTTAAGACCATGGTTGCGGAGCAGATCCAGATTAAGGCTATCAGTCTCTCCAAAAAAATATCTGTAACCTCTAAAATCCATTTAATGGGTGGCACCCTATTTCTCAACATATTTTTGGTAGAGGAAATAGCCCCTTTGAAAACACCATGAAAGTAATAAAAATAAATCAATATTCATCTCGATTTCTTTATTATTTTGGCATTTCATCAGCACCCATAATCCTTATTCTGAAAAAGATAGGGCTATCTCCCATCAAGGCAGTAAGAGCAGAAGATAGAGGACTATCTTTACTGCCCCTGATGAATCCACCACCAGGTGCACCATATAGGGATGTTTCTTCCCCAAATAAAATTCCAAGGAACACATGTAAACACTATTCATTCCTTAGATCTTAATTTCTTTTCCTTTTAAAATGTTCAAAGTAGGGCGCCTGGGTGGCTCAGTCGCTTAAGCATCTGCCTTCCGCTCAGGTCATGATCCCAGGGTCCTGGGATTGAGCCCCACATCAGCCTCCTTGCTCAGCGGGCAGTCTGCTTCTCCCTCTGCCCTTCATCTCGCTCACACTCCCTCTTTCAAATAAATAAGTAAAATCTTAAAAAAAAAAAAGAAGAAGAAGAAGACTAAAATGTTCAAAGTACTTTTCGGAACATTCTGTGATCCCTTACAATATTTCTTTTATGGAAAGTATTCTGATTTTAAATATGACGTAAGAGAGAACCTCATAAAGTGCTAGTAAAAATATGTTCAGGCATGGAATGACAGCTCATGGAATATATAGTAGTAAAGATGACAAAGTTCTCAATTGCTCTTAGTTGCTGGAGTATCCTTATATTCTCAATAAAGTAAGAATTGCTATAGTATGAATTTGCAAAGGATATTTCATATCGTGAACTATAAAATAAATCTTGCTGTGAAAAAAAAAATATCAGGATACCTCAAATATACTGCCCCAACTTAGCACTTGGCATGGATAATATTATGAATAATTTCATAATTATTCAGGCTTAAATCTATTTAACTCTACATGGAAAAAAGTTAAAAGTTAAAAAGTTTAAAAAATCAGGATTTGTTGGGCGCCTGGGTGGCTCAGTTGGTTAAAAAATCAGGATTTGTTATCTTTTGATAATATTCATTATATGTTCTTATGTGTGTATCCATGTATATACACATACACACATGCACACACTGATCTATATTTACATATGTATGCACACAGCAAAAAGATCATTATTAAAGCTATAAAATAATATTTAATGAGTTAAGAATATTTTCTACAAATTGGTTACTAACAGGTTAAAGACTTCTGTGGTTTCTGTGTTAAAAAAAAACTTTTTGTATTATTTATTAAAATAAAATTGTCTTCAGCTTTCCATTCTAAGAACTGCAGCTCATTTCAAATGTTTTTTTATAAGTAATGTGATAATTTATATTTATCTAAAACAAAATAAATTAAATACTGCTACTGGCTTCTTTTCTCCCCCTACCCTCCTTTTTTTCCCTTTTTTAAGCTCCCTTGAATTAACCCAGAAATTTAAAAAAAAAAAAAAAATTTTTTTTTAATCTCTGTGGTATCTATATAGGGTTATTCCCTTTTCAACCCGCACTAAGTTGAAAGGACACATCATTTCTCAAAATAGTCTTCTTCATTTTACTGCTGTTCCAGGGGTGATCCATCCCTTTTCCTCCTTCCCAATTACTTTTTTTCAACCCAACAAAGAGCTGTAGTATAAGGACCTTAAACTGAACACAGGGGTCGCTGTTGAGTAATGCAAAGCTTTTTTTTTTTTTTTTTTCTCCCCAGGGGCTGAGTATTTGCAGCAATACCTGCAAAGACTTCTATAAATTAAAAGGTAAATGTTCAACTTGTGTTTATGTAATAGAAAACTGAACTCCAAAGCAACAATGGGCATCAGGTAAACGTATCCAATACAATTTACAGACATAATTAAAAGCATTACAGCCTAATCAGACATCTAAAAGAAAACCATGCTCAAATGAAATGTCTACAGAATCATTAGTTGGCAGTCATTCTACTACAATCACACATAATGTCAGTGGTGCCTTGAGCCTGTGCCAATGACAACAGCATAAATTTTGCATCTCATTTCTGTGGTCATAAAATTAATGATCAGTTTAAAAACACTTCTTTGTAAAAGTTATTGCGCAAAGAAAAGACATGAATTCGTCCCTGTTATGTACTCACAAGGATAATTATGGGGCTGTTGCTCATTAATACTGTTTCTTGTTTCCCTAGAAAACCATTTGATTTATCCCACAACTTTTAAAAGTTTAATTAACGATACAAAGTTAACAGCCTAAAAGACAATGATCCAAGACTTCCCTTCCTATAATTTCAGTAGCAACTTAAATATTATGGCAAAAATCAAAGCTGAGTCTTACCACAGCAGCATATTTCTCTGATAAACATTTTTAAGTTTATAATAGTTGAGTTCAAATCACTATTATCCCTTCCTCATTATATCGTTCATCATCAATTAACATTTTCCTGAACGCCTAGAGATGGAGCCCACCAGCAGCTGAACAGTCATGATCTCTACCACGGCAGAAGGTGATTGAACCAATTTACTGCTTGTTTTGTCAAACAAGTCTTATCTGAAACACAACCAGGTAAACGTTAAACTAAATAATATACCTAAAACTTAGGTGACGGTCATTCCCCCTTTATAGCATGAAAGGCAAACTTGAGGAGAAAAAGGACTTGAGTGAAAACAAATTAATTTCTAATTCTCTATTCCGTTCACTTGTCCAAATTAATGTCTCAAGTAATAACATACAACCAAATTGACAGCATTACGCACTTAACGTGTCATTTCTTAAGGGAATCTGTGGTTTCATTCTTAAGACTTTGAAAGATTTAGGTCACCACAAGGAGATTCTGTTCATAACTCGTCTGCAATCGGAGAGCTTAATAGCAAGCAGATAGGAGGCGGAGCTTTAACATAAGGATATCATTTCTCAAGCACTACCTCTGAAATATACTTCTACTACAGTAGGCCCCATCATTTCAGACATACGCAACACATTTGTACAAGGCCAGAGATGGGCGGGGGGCAGGGAGGGAGCTCAAGTTATTTGCTCAGCTTTCATTGGTGGGATAACTTCCAACCAAACATGCACTATATTTAAAACGATAAAGGAAAGGACATTAAACATCATCCAAACTTTTGACTTCTCTGTGTTCTTAAGGATTCCATCAGAGCCAACTAAAATGAATCCCTTCTTACCTAACCTTACCTTACCTAATACCTCTGGCTATTTAAAAAAAAAGCATGTTAGTCCATTAATAAACTTAATAACACAAATGAGGTCAAAGGAAATTGCTAAGTAAATCTATGCATATTTAATGATATCAATGAAGTCTCAAGGAGAAAATCGATTACATAATTTTTTTAATTAGAGGAAAAATATTTTACAGAAGAAAATGAGAGCTTTTTATTTTTTTTCGAGATTTTATTTATTTGAGAGAGAGAGAGCACAGAGGGAGAGGGAGAAGCACACTCCCCGCTGAGCAGGGAGCCCGATGCAGGACTCGATCCCAGGACCCTGAGATCATGACCTGAGCCAAAGGCAGATGCTTAACCCAGGTGCCCCGAAAATGAGAGCTTTTTAGCTATGGCATCTAAAGGGAACTGAAAACAGTATATTCACATTTTTAAGCTATAGACACTAATATTTTGCAAATTTGAAAATATTCTCTTGAAATATTTGTCTGTTAATATGTCCTCCTTTCAATAATTTATAATTCCCTCAAAAAGTATTTGAAAACTGAATTATAAATCAAGATTTACTTAAATCAAGATTTACTTAAATCCTCTTGATAAATGAAGTTGAATCTGAGAATACACACTAATATAATATTTATTGAATGTCAGTAGACATATGTGTCATGCATAGGTATCTTCACATTATCTGAATCATTCTATAAAGATATTAATCATACCTAAGTTACACTGAAGTAAAAAAAAAGACTAATATGAGGGCAAGATACAAGTAAAACTTTTTTATCATATACCTAATGTATATTAGAAAATTCTGTCTTATACTCAGTCAATAACAGTCTTTACTCAATTAGTAATATATTTTCATTAGAAAAATAATTACTTTGGGGCACCTGGATGGCTCAGTTGGTTAAGTGTCTGCCTTTGGCTCAGGTCATGATCCCAGGGTCCTGGGATTGAGCCCCACATCGGGCTCCCTGCTCAGCACGGAGCCTGCTTCTCCCTCTCTCCCCTGCTCGTGCTCTATCTCTCGCTATCTCTCTCTCTCTCTCTCTCAAATAAAATATTAAAGAAAAATAATTACTTCAGGTCACATTTAAGGGACTTATGACCATGTCATATGACAGGAACAAATTCTAAAATAATCATAATTCTATTCTAAAATAATTCTAAAAGTAGCATAATTTTAGTGCATGAAGCCTAATTCGGCAGTACACTCTATACTATACTGCAACCAAGAAGAGGAAACTAGGGATAATTACTCCATCATGCACAATATTTGAAGGATATAAGAAGGAGCTCTCTCTGGGGCACCTTGGTAGCTCAATCTGTTAAGCGTCTGACTCTTAATTTTAGCTCAGGTCATGATCTCAAGGTCATGAGATCGAGCCCTAAGTTGCACTTCATGCTCAGCGTGGAGTCTGCCTGAGATTCTCTCTCTCCCTCTGTCCCACACCCACCCCCCCCAAATAAATAAAATCTTCCAAAAAAAAAAGATTCTCTCCCCCTCTCCCTCTACCCCTCCCCCTCTCTCATGCAAGTGCACGCTCTCTCTCACTCTCTCAAATAAATTAATTAAATTTTTTTTTTAAAAAAAGGAGCGCTCTATTCTAGATAGAATAAGCAAAATTTCAAATAAGTAACAGGGACTAGACTAAGCAAGATGGGTTCTAGTTGCTTAGATTCAAATCTTTCTTATATACAAGTGAAACTGAGGAATTTAGAAAATCAACTGATAATTTATTCTTTTTTTTAATAAATTTTTTTAAGATTTTATTTATTTATTTGAGAGAGAGAAAGTGAGAGAGAGAGCATGAGAGGGGGGAGGGTCAGAGGGAGAAGCAGACTCCCTGCTGAGCAGGGAGCCCAATGTGGGACTCAATCCTGGGACTCCGGGATCATGACCTGAGCCGAAGGCAGCCACATAACCGACTGAGCCACCCAGGTGCCCCTGAAAATTTATTCGAAAGTCACAATTTATCAGACCTCAATGGAGAATCTAGACTTGAGTATAGAAAGAGATATAATCAAGAATCCTTAATAAATTAAAGAAATGAAAAGGGAAGTTTTCAGACAACAGCTGAAAATGAATATAAACAGCAAATAGAAAATTAACTTAATGAACAAGCTTCAATATCTAGGAGCCACTGTGATAAAATATTTCTACAAGTTCAAATTATTCTCACCAAAAAAAAAGGAAATACTTTTTTAAAGTCCTCTAAGATCTATGCAGCTCAGTGTTTCAACAACTGTATTGATTCAACTAGTTTTAAGAATTGAAAAACATCAAACTATAAATTCTATATTGTTAAATCTTAGGATGAGGGGGTAGTACCTACAGTGTAAGGGGAGGGAGGAGATACAGAGGGAGTAAGGAAGGATGATAAACATCCATGTATATTAGACAAACTAATAATTCACTAATTAGAAATGAATAACTGAATTAATTCATTTTATTTAAGAATTGTTCACCTGGTCCTTTTCTCTTCCATTAATGATATTAAAATGGTATTTAACTGCCATTTTAAAAAGATAAAATAGGTGAAATAGGAATATAAAAGTAAAAAGGGGGCGCCTGGGTGGTTCAGTTGGTTAAGCGACCGCCTTCGGCTCAGGTCATAATCCTGGAGTCCCGGGATCGAGTCCCGCATCGGGCTCCCTGCTCAGCAGGGAGTCTGCTTCTCCCTCTGACCCTCCCCCCTCTCATACTCTCTCTCTCTATCTCATTCTCTCTCTCAAATAAATAAATAAAATCTTAAAAAAAAAAAAAAGTAAAAAGGAGGAAAATATCCTCTGTTTACTTCATTGTGACCCCATATTGACCTGAGAGAGAGTGAGAGAGGAGGGAGAAAAAGAGAAAGAGCAGGAAAACAGCCAAAAGGAATTCTGCCCAGGTCTGCTTGGATGAAGACAACCCAAAACCCCAAAGAGAAAATATAAGAAGAAAAAGAAAAGCAGCACTATTCAAAACATATTTAGATGAATTTACTCAATGTAGAGGTCTGATAATTACTAATTTCCTATTTAAAAAAAAATATGTATCTTGAATAATTACTTTGTAACTATTAAGTCTGTACTAACTTTGCTACTCCTAATTACAGGAATAATTCTTTTTAGAACAAAGCTGAATATACTTTGAGGGTATAATGGCATAAAATTACTCAGCTTCTCATATTTCTCCAAGGTATACATCTAATTTATCCATAGGCTTACTTTTAAGCAGGCACTCTTGGTGATTAGTTAACTCAATACAGGAGTACTGAACTACAAATGACTTGTTCAGAGAAAGGTGGTTATGGGGAATCTCTGAATTCTGTGGTTTTTGAACTCCTATTCCAGGCTCATTTTTCACTTTCTATCAAATACTACAAATTTCCATTCTCTTTAGAGACAAAGACTGTACCTCAGCAATATAATTTTAATATCTACAGGTCTAAACAAGTCCTAAACCAAAATACCAAAGGCAAAGTTCCTACCCAATTATTGAATCATATACAATTATACAATGACTTCATTATCACGCTTTCTTAGCTTACAATTTTTTAATGTACAAGTAATTAAGTCACAACAAGAGCTTGATAAATAATCACTGGAACAGAGTATGTCTTTTAAGACAGAACCTGTAATCTAGTATTCCTCTATAAACAGAGCATTGTATAAAAGTTACAGTAAGAATGCATAAATCCATTACTTCTATATTCAACTAAGCAAAATGCAGTATGATTAAACCTACAGTTCAGGATTGGTTGTCAAGTACAAAGAAGTGGGTATTTGTGGGGAAGAAGAGTTTCCTGCTCTTCTCTTTATTTAATAGTGCTAAAAATTTCCATATGAAAAAAAACATCTCATTCCCTCAAATCACAGCGATCTTGATGATTTAATGCGAAAAGAAACTATGGTCTGTCTGGTGAAGTACTTGGTTTATTGAAACTGTCATTACTCTCTCACTTATCAGTTGGCAGAGATATGAATTACTCTGTGGTATCTGCTAACCCCAGTTAGAAGATGCCATACTGTTTTTCCCCAAACCCAGATCCTAACTCCACATAGGTTAGCTGACCTTATGTTGTGACCCTCCTACCAGCATCCACAGGCTTCAGGTCATGACCTATGAATTAGCATCCTGAAAGTAAGGGCCACACCCAGTTTCCCTTATAGAACTGAAGACATGAAATAGTAGGAACTTCCTATGCCCTTCTTGGTTTGGTTTTCAATACGCTAAACAACCATCCCCCAAATCTAAAGGAAGTCAGTCAGGTTACCAGCACTCTCGCATATTTTGAGAAAATTAAATTGAACTCCTTCTCTGAAAATTTCTATAGCATACATTTATTCATATCAAAAGAATCACAGTAATAAAAACCAGCAATTGAGAGAGATTTCACTCATATTTTCAAACAAAAATTGATACTGTTTTAAGACAATGACTCTTTAAAAACATTACCTATGAGCAGCCAGCCACAGGCCCTCCTGACCCCACCACAGCTATAAAATCATCTCGGCTGTGTTAAATGGTGTTAGTTTGGTATCTCACCTCTGCTTTACCGAATTATTCCATGTGTTGCTGCAAGCATAAACTTTTCTTAACAAAGTTCTGTCACAGTGTGAAAACACATTAAAACACCTAACAAACGTTAAACACACAAGATTTCTGCATCAGGAGACGGTGCCGAGTAGATTCGGGATATGCTTCTTAATTTTTTTCTCAGCAGGGGGAGCTAGCACTCTCATCTTGAAAATCTAAGTATACAATCTGGAAATTTAAATTTTGATCCCAACTATCAAATTTCAGTATGTTTTACATTACCCTATTGAACATCTCTACAAGGATAAAAAATTTCAAGGTGGACAACCTTGAGAATTTACCTTTGTCTTGAAAGTCCTGAAGATAGCTGGAAGATAAAGCAAGAATATTATATTTTAAGATGAGGGTTGACAAATCAAAACAAGGTCTATTCATTGGCAATAATTCACACCTATTTTAAAATCTATATCATAAATACACATTTAGAGGAAAAAGTACTTCCTATCCTGAAATAACAATTCCAAAAGGCTTATGGATTTATAATAAAAGTATTTTTAAAGACCTAAGATACTGTAGTAGAATCAAAATCTTTAATATCCATGATATACATTTATTCATTTCTATATCTAGAGGTATTTATATTAAAATTCTCAATCTACCTTTGTCCTATTATTTAAACCACATACATCCTCAAATAATCAAAATAAACAGATGGATTTTGCTAGAATGCTTAGAAAAATATATATAATCAAGAACCTTCACAAAAAAGGATAATATGATAAGCGTATCAGTTTTTAAAAACTATTATAGAGGACATATACTTTGTCCTTTAAAACATTTAACACCAATTAAATTAGGACATAAAAAAAGTAATTCCGTGATAATTCTTTATTAAAATGTTAACTACAAAGTTGCTTCTAAGTAAGAAATAATAAACAGCGAGTAAGTGACTTACATAGGCTTTACATCTTTTATCTTCTTAATAAGGGATTCTCTCTTTTCCTTTGCTTTCTTGGATAAATTTTCCCCTCTCAGTGTGTCTGCCACAAATGTTTCAACATCTAAACCATGAAACATAAGAAACAGGATACAAATTATAGGAAAGAATCATTTTTTGTGAAGACAAATAGGACAATGATTGTTTCTACCCATAAGTGTTAATATCTGTACAATTTGTTACAGTTATTTATCAATCCAAAGCATAACAGTTGAAATATGTTTCAAATACTAAGTTGGACAAATCTGCACACCACTTAGCTAATAAAATTTGTATGCTCTACTTATGCTTAGCACAGCAAATGCTATTTGGATGTTTGGCATCATTAAACCAGAGAGAAGCTCACAAGTTTTAATAAACTATGGTGCCCCATAAAACAAATTCTCTCATATAAAAGCAAGCACAGAGCTTTTAGGCATGTGTTACTATCATTTTATAGTATTTTGTAAGCTCCTGTATGAACGGGTCATTCACAATATTATATCAATATAAGCTAATGTGTCTGGCAAGGTCCTGTTTTTCCCAGTGTAATCCATTTTCAGGTATGTGCAATATTTAATGTTTTAAAGGAAAAAATAAATCCCTTCTTCTAACCAAGATTCCAAATCAAACCCTCCTCCTTCCTACCTGCCCCACCCATTCTACCAGCCACTTTCAAAAAGAAAGGATAATCTGCTGTGTGGTTTTGTGTGTTCTTGCTTTCTGCCTTGGTATTACCACCTGGAAATATTTCTTTAAATACAGGAAGAAGTGGCAAAAATAGATTCATCTGCTATTTTAAAATATAGTAACCAAGAAATAAGATTTCCATGGCTTCATATAACATTTCCACAAGGCCTCTTTTTTTTTAATTTAGTAAACTTGTAAATTATTCTGCTTTCTAATTCTCTCTAGTACAAAATTCCAACTAGTCCTTACTGGTTTGATTTTATAATAGCCCCATTCATATTGTTCATGAACCATTGTGCAACTTTAAATTAATTTTATATTCAGAAGTTCAAATCTTACTTTGAGATATCTAATATAAAGGATACCATAAAAAATTTTAAAGTAGGTATGACTGTAAACCATCCATATTTCATACTGAAGAGATGTATGTATGTTTTACTTTCTTTTTATTTAACTACTTTGTCTCCTAACTCACACTGATAAAAAGAAAGTATCAAAGCATACGATAACACTATATGTAATTAATTCAAAGCACTATAATAGTCTTCCAACTGTACTTATAATTAACCATTTAAAACCTAGTATTTGAGGTAAAACGTTGTAATAGATTTTAAATTCTTGATTACAATAGTATCTTGATCCAATAAGCAAAGGTGATTAAACTGTTATCCCATACATGCATAATAAATGTATAAAGATAATTTTCACTAAATCAATATGACAAATGAAAGAATTAAAATTTAATCTTGGAATAATTTTTTTAAATAGCTTTCTGGTTTGAAGTCCATTAATGACTGTTGCAAGCAAGTATCAAAACGAAATGAAAGCAAAATGCCACAGCTTCTTTTTACTCGATCTGTCCATATATTGAAGAGGAGGACATATAGACATAATCCATAACCAGTGCAAATTAGACCCAGACTTCTAAAGTGAGTTCAAAATAATGAAACTTATTTTAAAACACACACACACACACAAAAGCACTCTCCCCTAAACTCTTTAAATTTTGTACCCAGAGAAACAAGCAACCTTTGGACATTCAGACATTAGCTGAAATGGAAAAGATCACTGGCTTCTCTGAGATGGTTACAATAAATCTACTAAAAAAAGTGGAATAAGGGAAGGAGTAGCATCTCTACTGCTGATTCTTTCTTCCAACCGGACTCAGTTCTTGGGAGAATCTCTGGTACAATGATTGGTGAATAGTCTGCTTAATGTTACTTTCACTCAGTGTTTGTCTTTAATTCCCTCATCCACAAGTATTTAATTGCCTATTTTACATTTTCATTACACAACCCAAATTTAAACAAACAGGATCTATTTTCTATCTCCAGAAGCAATAACAGATGGAATTACAGCCCGAGTTATTTCTTTAAAAGGTCGTTTCAGTTCTATAAAAACTCAGGAAACATAAAAAGCTGCAATGCTCTATATATAGGTTTCCTAACACTCCCAAAAAATATTTTTAAAATTCTGACCCATGCTATTTTATAAGAAATGCTTGTTGAAAGAGTGTGAGACTGCTGGAAGAATCCTGTTGTTTGTTTGTTGAGGGGGAGGAGATTCAGAGATCTGGCAAGGGAAAAAAATCTATAGTTTTAGAGTAGTCTTGATGTATTTATTCTTAAACTAATCCCAGAAAGGGGGTTTAAGGCAACTAAAAAGATGTAATAAACGCTGAATTTTTTATAAATTATTTCCTAGGAGACAGGGAAAGTGTAAGAACTGTTTTTGCTCTTTTCTTGTGTTTTTTCTCTTTTTTAACAAATAAGTTAGGAACTCTAAAGTGGAATTGATTCCTGAAATCTTAGTTTGTTGGTACCCACAGATTTAGTCGGTTTTGAAGTTTTTGAAATCTGGGTTATTTCTTAAAATCCACACGGTGCCCATTTATTTTCGAATTGAACAGAAACAGCCTCTCCCAGGCACGGGACACCCTCAGGATGCGCGGGGGACCCTTCGGCCGCGTCCCTGCGCAAAGCAGGGACCCTGCTCGCCCAGCGCGAAGACCGGGCGAGCACTGAGAAGTTACTCCGGGCTTTCCCGGGAGACACTTAGGCTCTGCGGTCCTCGAACACTCGACATTTGGAGTGTTAAATCCCGGGGTTCCTGTCATAGGAGCTGTGACCAGGGACCACGGGTTTCGCCAGACAAATGGGACTGGATCTGCGGCTTTGTAGCTCAGAGCCAGGGTAATATTTCAAAAGCGGGCAATAAAAGTCCTAGACGAATCAAGCGCTCCTCTGGCTGGTTGGAAAAGAGATTTGAAGCTTTTTATTGTGCTCTGAGTAGCCCTGCAAACGACAAACTAGCGAGCGTGTTAGCCCCATTCTATCTTCCTTTAGAGGTTGTGTCCCTCGGTTAATATGTAGATTTCACTGACTCCAGACTGCCTGTAATTCGGGGAACAGCCGTAATTCGATTGCAAGAAAAGGTCAGCCTGCTCCTCCCTAGCCTCTCGGCCTGGCGAGTGAGAATTCCTCTTCCTCAGAGGGAGGGGCTCCACTCATGCACGCACGCATCGAAGCTTGGGGACCCGCTCGGCCCGCTCGGAGAAAGCACAGCTCCCGGGAGCCCCAAACGCAGCAGGTCTAACCCCCAGCACCACCTCGCTCGCAGCCACGCAGACTGCGGGTCAGCGCCGCTGGCATTTAACCCCAGAATCAGCCCCATCTCCATCAGCCTCTGCCCCCAAGGCATCACCAAGGAAAAAGTTATCCCAGAGACTGCAAAGGTGGTGGTGAGTTTTGGTCCTTTTACACCTTAACACTGTCGAGAATAAACCTTATCTCCCGGTACAACTGTAAAGATCTGGGGCAGAGGGCCCTGAGAAGATCAGACTTACAAGTGCTCTGTAGATAACTGTTAAGGTCTGAAAACAAAATTAAAAGATGACATCATGTCTTGGCTCAGCAATCTCAAGCAGTTTAAGTTAGAAACCTCTCAAAAGCCATCACAACCCCTAAGAGGCAAACACAGCACACACCAAACCACCGAATGGTATTCCAATTTCCTTTTTTCTTCTTCTGTAGGAATGGACCCCCAGAAAAACTGCCCACCCCCTATGTCTTCCCCTGTAGTTCAAGGGGCTAGGACAGGTATTTAATACGCACACACACACACACACACACACACACAGAGAGAGAGAGAGAGAGAGAGAGAGGTGCTAACTGCTTTCTACCACCTTCCACATGGATCACACAGTGAAAAACCTGAAACCACAACAGATTAGAATGGTTTTTAAATTCCTGCAAATGAAAAAATAAAATGCCACCCTTTCAAAGCTCAGTACACAGGTTCCCACTCTTGAAGAAAGCTGAGGTTTGGCCACTTGCCCTCACCATCCTTCACCAGCCAGCAGCCTAGAAAATGACTTGCTGGGAGGTTGTAAATAAGTCACAAAGGTAACACCTGATGTCTTCTGCCTCCTCTCCCAACCACCCAATACCACCCTGAGAAGGCTTGCCTGCACACACACACACACACACACACACACACAGCCTCTGTGATGGCCTGAATTGTATAGGAGAGGGGAAGAATTGGACTGAATCCACTACCATTTGCTCAGCTCCAGATCAATAACATAAGTGTAAAACCAATTACACATCACCCCCAAATGGCTTTACTTACTTAATTCCACATCCTTCACTACTTTATGAATTGGGCCAGGTTTTACTATGTATTCACTAAGGTACTACTACCAAACTTAATATGGTGAGAATCCCAGCCAAACTTTAAGGCGACATAAGAAAAAAAATAATAAACTTTTCTTCTCTGTTAAAGGGGGTACAGTCTGATCAAACACCTACTGGTAAAAACATAAAAATCAATTAAACTGGGCACATGTAGATCAATGGAGCCAATGCCCAAAGTTGGAAAATGGCTAAGTGAAAAGTTATTGATCCTCTAATCAATGTCTTCCCTTGATTACTTAGCACTTTTACAGGTTATAGTTGAACTGTGGATTTTCCAAACATGGAAGAGGAGGAGCCAAGGAGTTCTCACAGTACAGTAAGTAAAACATTCCTGAGTCTTACAATCCAATCATCTGACAAAATTTTCAAAATGGGCTTTGGAGACTAAATGACTTATTTTGATAGAAAACTGGGCTGTTGAAGAATATAGATAAACATCTTTCACCTCTAAAAGATGACTCTTGATAAATAACACCTTATAATAATCAAAATCTTTTTACCACGCATTTTCAAAGAAGCCACAGTGAATAACACATTAGTCTGAGATTTACACTATATTCACTGTTAGGTAGCACCTATTGTAATGTGTTCAGTATGTGATTGAAAAAGAAATGTAAACTCAGTGGAATGAAAAAGATAGACTTGGCTTTAATTGAAAAAGACAAACTAAGTTAATAATGAGTATATAAAAACTAGTCTATGCCACTTTTATCACCCATATATGACACTTAATCTTAAATTTATGAGAGACAACTGAAGTGTGTTTCAAATCACCAGAGGCTTCTCCTATGCTGTTGTTTCTATCTTCCTTCTAGTAATACTTTAATGCTGATAATGTAGAGATAAACCCATTTGGAAATTTTTTTCTCATTTTTTTAATATACTTAGATTCCTTTTTTTTTTTCCTTCAAAGATTTCATTTATTTTTCAACAGAGAGAGAGAGATAGCGAGAGAGGGAACACAAGCAGGGGGAGTGGGAGAGGGAGAAGCAGGGCTCCTGCCGAGCAGGGAGCCCGATGCGGGGCTCGATCCCAGGACCCTGGGATCATGACCTGAGCCGAAGGCAGATGCTTAATGACTGAGCCACCCAGGCGCCCTAGATTCCTTTTTTTTTTTTAAAGAAATCCAGTGATAACTTGGGTTGAGTAACTATAAAAACTGTACATATCAAGAGCCTTATTTAGTAATCTGAGATGAAAATACTTTCAGTGGAAAGCAATGGTGGAAAACAAGCCAGCCAAAGATCCCCTCCCAAGAAAAAGTAGGATATTATATGCTTAATACAGGCAAATAATTTTCTTAACATCACATCTTAATTCATCTATGTTATTCGACCCATAACAAGAAATTATAAATTTTTGATCCTTTGATTTACAAACACATATTCCTGTTTCTAGAAGAGAAAACCTTAAAGGCATCGAAGACTGATTTCATTTTGAGTTCAAATATCCTCATAGCAACTTTATGCTCATTAGTTATTACTGCCAAAATGGGGCAGGCTTGTTCTTGCTCTGTAGGAAAATCCAGGTGCTAAAGAAGTAGGTGACTATTGGTGACTCAGTAGGTGGCACTCTTCCCTTTACATACTCAGCGAATGCCCCAGAAGCAAATTATGGGACCCTAGATGTACCATAAATAATCCTCATAGGAAAAATAAACCCAAAATGTTGACCAAATTATAAATGGAACTTAGGAAAGGTGGAAATCAAACCATACTATTCTTAGCATTGAAAAAATTCTCCGTCTATTTCAACTGAATTGCATTCTTTACCTTGTGCCCCTAAAGGGATTATCAATTTTAATGTGTGAAGTTTAAAAAAAAAAAAAATGTTCTGGAAATCCCCAGTAGGGAAAAATGCAATATTTCTAATCAAGACTGCCCTGTGAAAAAAAACCTCAAAGTCACTCTGCAGAAACCATATAGGCACTTTGTTTATTGTTTGTTTGGTTTGGTTTGGTTTTGATTTTTCAGAGTACTGTTCTGGAAATCCCCAGTAGGGAAAAATGCAAGATTTCTAATCAAGACTGCCCTGTGAAAAAAAACCTCAAAGTCACTCTGCAGAAACCATATAGCCACTTTGTTTATTGTTTGTTTGGTTTGGTTTGGTTTGGTTTTGATTTTTCAGAGTACTGACAACCACTATTTTCTCCTGTTAGCGTTGGTTTCATTTTCTAACTTAATAAAAAGAAACTTACATCCTCTTACAGCTTTTCTCTTCAAACATGTTGTCCTAAAACAAATCAATGAGAATGAATGAGAATATCTGATTGCAAACTACTAACACTCCAGTATTCAAAGGATGATTAAACAAATGAAGGGGGTTGAGAGCCCATAGTTCTAGTTCTCTCACTTTCTCGCCTGCCCGGAGAAAAAACTCACATAAATCAAGATTATTCTTGCTGTTAGTCCTAGTCAAAATATTTGGATGTAGGAAAAGATTAAATGGACAAGATTCAGAATTATCCATGAATTCCAATTATCCAGGCTAAACTTGTTCTTCCATTGTTTGTGAAAAAAAATGAAAGGTTGCTTGTAGTGCATAGGCAGTTCAAAATTTGCTTTTAACAAAAATCTATAACCTTTTTTCTATTCATGTAACAAAAGAAAAATACAACACTTTTATAAGAAGTATAGGCTTTCAAGATTTAATATACTGATCCCAGAGAAATATGTATCACTAACAGTCAAAACTATAAGCCCCTTTTTCAAGAGTATCATTAAATGTAGTTAAGAATGATAGCATCTATGGGTTTTTGCATTTCTAGAGAATGTTTTAGAGGGGAAGGAATGAGAAGAGAGGGGAACAAATATTGAAGGGAAGCCTAAAACTGCTATAATCAGAACGAAAAATAAGGAGAAAGAAAATAATATAAACTGATAAGAATACACTGAGCACCTATCTCTATCAAGCAGTTGAAATGTCAAACATTTAACACACATGACATACAATGATTTGGATAATAGGCACATGGAACACAAAGGGAACTGTCTGAGCAATGTTATTTTGATAGGCATTATCTTTTGACTTTGTATCATTTTTTTCTGTAGGCAAGGATTTGAAGTGCCTGCAAAGTTTAGGTCCTTATCTTCTCTACATGGGAATTCTAGCATGGTGTCAAACATTCTCAGAGGGCTCAACTGTTAACTACAATTCACCACTACTAATATCTCCTTCTTAGTTTCAGAAAGTAGTAGGTAATCCAGCATTCAAACCAATGCTCTCCCTCTATAGTTTTAGTAATTTTAAATCTAACCATGTACTATTACCCAACACACTTGAATTATGCAAATAACCATGCACAATCCCAACAGAATTTTTTGGATGCAAAATGTGAAAAAACTGCTGAGAACCTTTATTCTTGAAACCTTTCCGGAAAGATTTTAATTACAGTCAAAGACAAAATGTTAACATCCTTCTTTGAATAAGTTAAAAAAGAAAACTGAAAAACACTAGTTCTCTTGTTTCATTTCTTTAAAAAGTATAGACAGATAGATAGATAAATAGATATTCCCTCAAATCCATACCTCTTGAAAATGTCCTCTGATTATAGTGTAAGCCAAATTTTAATATTAATTTTAATTTTTTAATTTTCATATTTTTAATTTTCATATTTTCATATTTGTTTTTAATACTTCATGTGTTTTGATATGTGATTTGTTTAATAATATGAAATATTGAAAACATCAGTAAGATGACTTTTAAAACATTCATTTCGGACATTATGCAGGCATATTAACTGACTAAAGAGAGAGAAATGGCTAAAGTAAATAGGAAGTTAGCATTGGTAGATAATTTAAATATTATGTAATTCTAAGCTTTCAACAAATTATATACATAAGGGCCAAATGAAATATTTGTAATCTATGGGAATCAGAGAATAATGAGTCTCATAACCTATATGTCATACTATCTGCAAAAGTATGATTATGGACCCAAACAGCAAACTGCCTCCTGTTGGAACTCTCAAGCTTTAAAGGTGTGTACCCAGAGGTCTGAACTTTATTTCTTAAAGTCAAAAATTCAGAACTAGAATATCCTGAAAGTGGTGCCATCTACTTCTGGAGTAATGATAAACACTTCTCTGGTCTGGTTATTAAAATAGTATTCTAAACACGCAATTCCAGCATTGTAACAATGAAAATGTTAACTGTAGTAAAACAAAATCAGTACTAATGAGAAACTCTCATATAATGGAATAAAATCTGCCTTAAATTAGTCTTTACAGTTCCTTATATTTCTCTTAGTGGTACCCATTAATGACAATAAGCATTCTTAGAGTAAAATACTATCCCACCACAAATGCATTTATCACACTGTAACTGTGTTCAGACAAACTTAAGTCTGCATCCATACGCTCTTGGTTTTATTCTCTTGATCATATTCATGATGCTAACCAGCAAAACAGCATATTAGGGGATTTGGTCTCATAAGCAACTTACTATTTAAAATGTCACATTTTAGATATTAATTTTTGAGAGTTAAAATAAGCAACTTGTAATAGACATCTAAAAGAAACTCTTTTAATCCAGCTATTCATGACCAATACTTAAAGGTAAATACTTGAGACAACTAAAGTAAAACAATCAAAATTCAGTTTCTAGAATTCTGATGTACCTATGACAAAGTGAATGATAGTAAGAATTCCAGAGCATCAGGATAGGTAAGATTTGTGCTACCCTAAAAAAACGTGTTTTCTACTTCGTGCAGAAATATACATCTCCATTTCTAGCAGAGTAATGAACCAGTAGTGGATTCGTAATATCCTTGAAGAACCGCATCTTTAACTCCTAACGTAAGTTCCTATAAATGGTCATTTAAAACTGAAAAGGGGAAGATGAGGGTGCAAAGATGAAGTACTTTCATTGTGTGACACAGGAAGTTGGACCTTAACACATACTTCCTTTTTTGTTTTCATATGTTACTCAGGCCAAGACAAGTGGCCCTTTAAGAATCAGGCTCTCTTTGAAAGTCTTAAATAAGAGCGCAATGAATGTTTATGGAAAAAAAGAGAGTTTTAGAAATGACAAAACCTTGCGTCCCACAACCTCTAACACCTGTAGCTCTGACATCTTTTGGCATCTTTACACCCTTCTCCTCCATTGGCCAGGCCACCGAAGAACTACTTCTTTGACTTCTGATCCCTTCCCAGTTCTCACACACGCATTCATTATCATTTCCTCTCTCCCTCTCTCTCTCTTCTCTCTCTTTCGCACACATACAAGCACATGACGTCCTCACGATGCATACAGAAATGTCCTGATCCCATTAGTGTAGTCCATCAAGGAGGGCTTCCCCACCATCCTCGAACCCAATTTCAACACACGCCCACTCCCTTTCTCAGACCCCTCTTCCCCATTCCCAGTCCTGCTCCCACTGGCCAGGAGACAGGGAAGCGTGGGGAGGGAGGGCAGAGTCGCTGAATGCTTCTGTCCCCACCGGCTCGCCGTCCCCTCGCCCCCGCCCCCGCCCCAACAGCGTCGCCCGCCCCCTTCCCCAGATCTTTACCTGCCAACAGGTTCCTAATTTCCTCAGGGAGGGGGTAGGGAGAGGAGGTGCTGCTGGGGTTGGGCATGTTAGGGAGCGCGGTGCGTGCGGGGAAAAGACCTGTGCTGAAAGGGGGACCGATGGGCTGAGGTTGCGGCTGCGACCTAGACTCGGGCTAGCGGTCCTGGTCAGGACAGCGGTGCTACGAGTCCGGACACTGCCGGGCCGGGGCTCACAACAAGGAAGTCACTGAAGCCCCAGCTAGCAGCTGCTGGACTCTCGGCCCAGCCCCGCCCGGCAGATGGGGGCGGGGCGACGGGCTGGGAGAAAACCCGAAGCGCCTGAGGGGCCCAACTGCGCATGTGTATCCTATGGTTTTCCTAGCCTCGGAAAAGAGCCTCTGCACAGACCACACCCACCCCTACGTCAGGGAGCGGGAGGAGCGGCTGGTGGGAAGGGAGCGGACTGGAGCTGCATCACCTGATCTGGAGTCTGAAGCGCCTTGCAGCCATTTTGGTTACTGGTGCCTCCACAACTGCTGACCGTTTCTCCAGGATCCCGAAAAATAAGGTATCCATAGTGCCCCTAAGTTTTCCGCTTAAGGGACCTCTAGCCAAAGGTCAGCCCCGCTGAGGTGTAACACCTCACGTGGTAACCCACAAGGACTTTTCGGCCGCCCTAAACTAGTATGGCCTTCTTTGTCCGATTGAATGAGGTAACCAAGTCCCATCTTCCGCCAGTCTTCCCTGAGAAGCCAGTCTGGAGCTGCTCCAGAGAGCTATCTGATTGGCTCTTAAATTACTTTTCTACCTAATTCTTATTGTGGGGCGACTTCCCCCACTACGAACGAGGAGTGAGAAGTTCTAGTCACTATCCTTTTGCGTTAAAAAAGAAAAAACAGGAAGTTAAATAGGCATAGATATTACCGTCCCATCTATAAGCATCAAAAAGAAAATTGCTGGTGATTAGTAGAATGGAATTACAAAATGTGTTCACTACAACCTGATCGACAAATATTTATTGCATGTCTTCTATCTGTAAATCTTACAGATTTTCTGTAAAATCCAAAAGACACATTCTGGTGCCTTTAAAGTGTGCTTGTGTGTGTGTGTGTGTGTGTATGCTGTATACTGTATATGTGTGTGTGTTTGTGTGTGTAAATATATATATATTCTGAATGTGTGTGTGTATTCGCCCCACCTCATATGGGAACTGCTGCCCTGATAAAGCTCTTTCCTCATGCTACTATTGTATTGTGGTGTGTAAATTGTTTATTCCTCTACCCTCCGACCCTCACTGGATCAATAGTCCTTAAACTTCAGTTTGCATTAGAATGACCGAGAGAATTTATTAACAATGCAGATTCTCAAGTTCCACTCCCAGAGATCCCGTCTGTTTAGGGTGGGACCTGATGATTTCCATTTTAAATAAGCCCTCGGGTAGTTCTGATTCTAGACATCCTAAGATTTGATTTGATCACTTTACCACTTTACCTCTCCTATAGGGCACAAAATTGGTCATAACTTATCTTTCATCCCCACCTGGAGCCCTAAATTTGACATAAAGTAATGGCTCTATTAATATTTCATACAAAAAGTCTCAGACAGTAATAGTAAAAAATTAAGTGGTCAGATGCAATGACATTTTTGTATAATTCTGTAAGAGATAAACAACAAACGCTAATTGGAAAAGGAAAAATGAGAACATGTTGAAGTCCTCTCAAAACAAAACAAAGAATAGGGGCTCCTGGCTGGCTCAGTCAGAAGAACATGTGACTTTTGATCTGGGGGTTGTGAGCCCCATATTGGGTGTAGAGATTACTAAAATAAACTTTAAAAAAAACACAAAAACAAGACAAAAACTTTATAATAGAAGTAAGACACAAAATAACTACAAAAAAGACCCCCCGGAAAACAAACCCATTCCCTAAAATGGAATCTGAAATTCCTACTCAGATTTAGAAATATGATGAATTATAGAAAGAGTGCTGGAAACTAGAATTATTTTTGGTGGAGGTAAGAGTAAATAAAGAGTCATTTTACAACATAGGTCCTCCAACTTCAAAGAGAATTATTATTCTTAAACTACAAAATTATCTTCCTCCTTAAAGAAAGAAGAAACTATTTCATGGACAAGGATTCTACCTTCCTTTAGAGTTATCACATATAATTCTTTCTCTTGTCACATTTTTTATTAAACCAGGCCTCCAAATGTTCCCATCCTTTGTTTCCTTCTGATAGAACTAACCACATTTTTTCTTTATTCTTGTGTCTCATTTATTTATTTATACTCCACTCATTCCACAAAGGAATTGAAGTGATTTACTCTTGTATCATATAGACAGTTTTCTGGAGTGGATCAAATGGACAGCGTCTACAGTGCTCATTATGACAAGTCATTCCTGTTAGTGAGAGACAGGAAACTATTAAGATTGCCTTAAAATATATAGCATCTAGTAGTCCAAATAAAAAAGGCAATAACAGAAAATGGACTTTTTGTATGAAACACATTTCCCCTACTCAGGAAGCCATTCTCAGACACAGGTTTGTGATGGATTCACTTGGGCAATGCTTTGTATACTCTATCATTTTTACTGTTTATTGTTAAAGTTACTGAAATTGATTATAAGACAGAAAGAGAAATAAAGAGAGACTAAAAGAAATATATTCTTATTTCTCTTGTTTCCAAATGTTTCCATAACAAAAACTAGGAAGGAAATCAAATCATACTTTTCATTCTTTAAACTACTCATATTAGGTAAAAAAGAATAATAAACGAAATTTTAAATCTCAACCTGTAAGAGGAGTAATAGCTTCCCTACCATTCCACAAAGAAGAGACTAGACTCCGGGAAAAATATCATGATTTGTCTTCTCAAAAGGAGATCCTTCAATTCAAAGAAGATGTATATAGAGATATATCGAGAGATACATAGTATATATCCCTGTAACTAAAGCTAACCCGCTTCCTTACGTTTTTCAAATTTAGTTTAGCTGAATAAGTATTTGCCCACAGGCCTAGGGTTAAAAGAATTTAAATGAGCATTGAAGAAGAACAATGAGCTAAAACACAATTTACTTTTTTTTCTCTGCACCTCTTATCTTCCTTTAGTTTGGCATTCTTAAGTCATGTGAAAGAAAGATTATATTTTATACTTAGGCATTGTATAGTTATTTGTTTCCATATAACAAAACTTAGCTTTAAACACTAGCATCTCACGTAGTTTCTGATGGTCAGGAATCCATGAGCAGTTTAGCTGATTGGCCCCCGTTCAGTCTCTCACGAGGTTACAGTCAGGCTGTAGGCTGGGTTGCAATCATCTGAGACTTGACCATAGCTAAAGGATTAGCTTTGAAGAAAATTCACCCACAGGACTGTTGACTGCAGTCCTCCATTCCTCTTTGGCTGTTGGCAAAAGACTCACTTCCTCACTACATAGACTTCTCCATAGGGCTGCTCAAATGTCCCTTTGACATGGCACCTAGCTTCCCCTGGAGCAAGTGATCCAAGAGATAGCCCAACCAAGACAAAAGCTGCAGTGTCTTAATCTCAGAAGTGGCATCACTTTGCTGCTGCCATATTGTATTGGTCCCACAGACCAAGCCTGGTATGTAGAGGGAAGGGACTGTACAAGGTTGGAGCTTGAAGTTCACAAGGCAGGGAGTCAGGAAGGGAAGATAGAGGAGATTCATGACAAGATGGAATGCAGAAGCACAAGCCATGTTCATGAGGACCATCTGAAACCACAGCTAGCTTTTGCTGCCTCTGATCCTGGTGATACGGATGCCCTGCAGAAGTCCGGGTCCTTCCTTACAGAATTAACACACACTTGCCCCAGCAGTCAGAACTGAAAGGAGGATCCAGAAGAAGACAGAGCAATTTGCCCTATCTGGCTTTTGGGCCTGGTAGCTGCTGCAGGCCAATGAGGTGAACCAGCAGACAAGTGACAACATACGGGAGCCACAAAGTGACTACTGTGTCACGTGTGTAAATCTCACACAAGAATCTCTTTTGTGACTAATGATGTTCTATATGCTGGCTAACTGACAATATAATAAAAAAATAAACAAAAATTAAAACAAACTAATTAATTAATAAGAATCTCTTTTGTGGCCCACGCCAGCCAGAAACAGACATAAAAGGGAATTCCAGGAGAAGTAGGTTGACAGATTGCAAAGCCACCAACCACATACTTGTACTATTATATGTAAAGAGTGGATTAGACAAAAGAAGCAGTTGAAATCTTGCATTTATTTTGCAGCCTAATACATTTTTAAAACTTTTGTTTTAAAGATTTTATTTATTTATTTGACAGAGAGGGAGCACAAGTAGAGGGAGTGGAATAGGGAGAAGCAGGCTGAGCAGGGAGCACTGAGCAGGGAGCCCGATCTGGGACTCAATCCCAGAACCCCGGGATCATGACCTGAGCCTAAGGCAGTCGCCTAACCAACTGAGCTACCCAGGTGCCTCTACCTTTTTTAAAACTTAAGCTATTGTGTCTTTCAAGTCATCTAGTAAGAGCTCTTTTAAGAATTTTCAGAAATGAAAGTTTGCTTTTATTTTCTAAATTCTTATTCCTCTCTTCATTTGAATCATTGTGGTATGAGTTTATCATTGTGTGGTGCCAGCAAGAAAAAATTATATTCTCAGTGGAATTAGCCTTAAAAGATACGACACAGAAGCCCACCAAAACCAACAGGTTCTAATAGATGCAGCTCACTAACTTGTCTTTTCAGTTTTTAGGTCGTAATTATTATTAATCCTGTTAGTAACATTTATTAACAAGATAAGGAAACACATTCATTCTCCTTTGCTCTCCATCTCATTTGCATATACACAAACATGTGCTCAGGCACTTTGCTGCCCTGGCCAATCATTTTAATATGAGAATAATAAGCAACTTAATATAGACCAGATTTGAGTTCTTAACAAGATGTTGTATGTCTTTAGGATTCCACAAATTAGGAATAAGGTAAGAGAATGTCCATTCCATTCCAGACTTGTCAAGGGCTGCCTGGTTCTCTCCCCAGGTAACAGCCCTCTTCTCCCTTTAAGTGAAGTTAATTTCCCCTATCTAGAATCTCAGTGCCAGAGATCTCACCATTGTAATGTCAGCTCTGATGGTAATCTGGCTCTGGCCTTATATCCTAGTTCTAGTAACTAAGTTTCTCCTGCCTGGGTTCTGAAACCAAATCTTTTACTTTGCCTACTTTCAGTAAAGTGACTTTTTTTTTTTTTTTTTTACTTCTAGCCCTCTTGGACTATGGCTCTGTCTTACTCTCACAATCTTAATTTATAGTCTGGTGTTATATTCTAGATGGATCTGCAGAGAAGG